ATGCAGAGCACTAATTCCGAGTATGGGTCACCATACTTGGCCACATGTCACGTCACATGTCACGTCACTTTAGATAAAAACCTAGGTGGTTTGCTGGTCTTTACTGGATTAAGCTGATTTCCCAGCCTCGCCAAGGTGGTCTCCAGCTGGTTTAACAGGTCATCCATCTGTTTTCCCATCCTGATTAGCTGAAAGCATCCAAAACCCCTCTAAATCAAGCAAAAGGATCAGACTGACCAACTTCATAGACCGGTTAAGACCAGAAAACTAGGCATTCATACATACAGTAACAAGCTACTTTGCTAACAAATGTGTGTGTTCTTGTTTTTGACAGGCCCTGCTCATCTCCCAGGCTGCCTCATGCGGACACACACAGCCGGATCGAGCATTTTGCCAGCAGGTACGAGTTCAGCCTCACACAGACAGTGATCACGCCTCACTTATGCTCTGATATTCTCCCAGCAGCCACTTCTGCTCACTCCTCTGAGGTCTGATTGGCATATTGATCCCCTTTGCATGGGCACAGTGTTCCAAACAGCAGGGCCTTAACAACAGCCTGGGAGGAAGTGAGAGGGGTGTGAGAAAGAGAGAGAGGGTTATAAAAAGTGAGATAGCGTGAGAGATAGCATTCAGAGGGGTGGACAGGGGTCAGCTGCTTTCCACTAGAAGAATGAAAGCTCAACCTACAAGGTCTGGAGGGCTCGAGGTGGCTGCCAGCACGGATCAGTCTCATTCTGGCCTGGACGGAGTGCACATTACACGCTCAGGAAACACAGACATGGACTTGTCCTCAAACATGTTAAAATGCTTGCTCATACTTACACACAGTTATATCCGTGGGGTTTAGAATTAGGTGCAGTAGTACTTCAGGCTTTTGTCACGCTCACACACATTTGAAGTCACACAAAAACAACATTTCTGTCATTTCTCTACTGAAAAAAAAAAAACTGGTTTTAACCAGCCTATACTTGTTTTGTGGTCTTCCAGCCTGGTCAAGCAGGTGTTTAGCTGGATAAAAGTGTGCCAAATTCTGGACTGGCTTGGGAGTCCAGATTAGACTGGTTTAAGGTTTTTTTTTTTGGTAACACTTTACTTGAAGCCTTTATATATAATGCATTATAAATAAATAATTGTAGCCAAAGTTCAAATGAATTACAATATTTGCAGATTCCTTGTTACATCTAAAATTGGTTGTTTGCTGTGTTTTAATGTATATATTTTGTAAAGATTTAACAATGAATAGATAAGTAGTATAATTTATTATAACTGTTTACAAATATTCATATCATACAATGCATTATAAAGTACTTTTATAATGCATTATGCATGAAGGATTCAAGTAAAGTGTTACTTTTTAGCAGGATTTAGAGTTAGTGGTGGAGGGAAACATGTTGAATAATTGGTCAGTACTGCTTAACTGATGTATCCAAAAGAGTTTAATACTTTGACACTCAAGTAAAATGCTGTAAGAGTAACAGAAAAACAGAGAAACCCTGTATGAGACCATTATCAAATAATAAAACCAATATAATAACCAATACGACAGTAAAACAATTTACATCATATAATTACTAAGTGAAAAATGTGAAATCATTTACCTAATAACCCTTTAAATGCGATGCACAATACACAATAAAAAAAAGGGGACACTAAAACGTGATTACAGTCTGCGCTCTTCATAACGCATGCACACACTGACAATGGGAAGCAGTTTATACAATCACATTGTGTGTGTTTGTTACAACTATGTCAAAATAAAATTCTGAATGAAAACAATTCCATGCAAAATGCATAATCAGTATAAACAAATTCCATTTAAGGAATTGTCGGGTCATTTACAGTTGAAAATTACATGGGTTTAGAATGACATGAATGTGAGTAAAATCTTCATGTTTGGCTGAACTAACCCTTTAATTCGGCTGTAGAAGCGCAGTGAAGCCAATGGCCCAATGTGACTGGTTTGGTTTGACTGCAGCAAACGATCAGGGATATGCTCCTCTGGCCCATCTAACTTCCCTGCCAACTACCTAAATACACACAAGCACATGCACACATGAACGCACAGATCAGCCCTTTGCCTACCCTACCATACTGTGCTGCCAACTGTCTCAGCTCACACCCTGCTGCAGCTCTTATCTGTACTACAAATAGACCAGAGCGCACACACACATTCTCTCTCTTTGCTTGTGTCCTTTTGTCTTCATCTATGTCTCCTCCTCTGTCATATGCTTGATTTCTACTCCTGCCTTTCAATGTCTTATTTCATTTCCCTCTTTCCTTCCTAATATCAATCACTTACCATATCCCACTTCTTCCTCTTGTCTAGTCCTTTTTAATTCCCCAAATTTGTCTCTTCTCTCTCTCTCATGCTATCTCTGGTTTCCCAACACACATCAGTGCCATCTGCGTTAGTTGTTCCTGCTCAAAAAATATTCGTTGTTTTTATTCAACTGTCACCAGTTAATATGTTTCACAGGGGTCTGTTTGTGTCTGACTGAATGTGTAAAATGTTCTGGGATCGTCGGCTCACAGAATGCCAACAGCCTTGACTAAATTAGATAAGAAAATGCCTGAATATTTAAAACACTCAGGGACATGACATGAATTTTACATTTTTTTTTACACTGCACATATCACTGGATACAAATGACATGGTAAAAGTGTACTTCAGTGACATGGACAAAAAACTGATGGGTTGGTTGATGGCTTAAAATATTCATTTTTTTTATTATTTGCAATATTTATCATAAATTGTTTATTATCTGTTTATTATCTGAGCGATTTATCACTGCTTTATACCCAGTGAAGATTATTTGTATCTCCACATTTTTGTTCTTGCATCCATTTATACATTTACTTAATCACAAATTGTGATCAGATTGCAAACTGTCACTTATTTGCGGCATTATCTGATTTGCCTTATTTCTTTATTGAATTTGGCCGTTAAAACATTTCTGACAAATGAAAAACATGCTAATAAGCACGGTCTCGTTTGATTCTTTGATCTCAATGTGCTTTCAGAAAATGCTCGAGCTTTCCATTTATGTCCTTGCTTTTGTACATTTATGCATTCTTAAACTATACTACTTGATCTAAGTGTCGGCTAAATAAGAAAAGACAAGCGTTTTATTGCTGCAAAGATGCTTTCATAAAAAATGTAAAATCCAGTTGCCTTTGGAAGCCCATTGGAAAATCACTTTCATTCACTTTTATCTGATAGTTCTGTCCTTCGCAGAATATGAACGATAGAGAGCATGTGCTAAATGAGGTGGCACGTTATTTATTTCCAACATTGTCAAAACTAGCTTTGAACTCTAATAGAAAATTAAATCCTTGTCAGATGTTTTGGATGTGGTATCTGCAGTACGAGCGCAGAGGAAGAGAACATCATAGGCAAGGGAACGGAGATTGTATGTGCGTTTAAAGGCTAATCCAGAGTAATGACTGAAGGACCTCAACATCGAGGGGGTGGGAGAATAAATCCACTGGCATTTGATGTTCTAGACTCACCGTACAGGGGTGGATTTGCTTGGATATGACAGAGTAAGTGGTCTGTACTGACAGCCTTTCATCTGAAGAACAGACAGCATATCAGAAAGGCTGAACCACTGTTCTGAATCTCAACACATAATGTCCATTTCAAGACAGGGCTTCTCAAAGGAGGAAATAGTTTGTCATGTACTTGCTGATCTGTATTTGTAACCTCTCTTTTTCGCTCAATCAAGAGACCACACTGACCACACACTGAGAAACCCATTTAAACCACTACAAAGACATGCGTGTATAACCTCAAACTCCATTTGACCTCGCACCACAGAATCTGTAACATCATCAGCGGTTCCTAGTAACACATTTGATTGGATCTAGCTGATGGAGGTTTCAGTGTATTCAGTTAGGAGTCGTCCCAGCCAGGTGGAGGGGTTAACCAGGTCAGCCAGTGCCACCGTCATTGGCTGAAGGACACCTGGTTTTGTGAATGTGTATCGACTTTCTGCTATTCCCTAAGGCAGCCCCATCCTGTGTGTTCTAGTCTGCAATTCAGAGCTTTCTCTGTCAACTTTCCTAGCAACATGACATGAATGCACTTAGCACTCCTCATTAAGGTCTTTATAGAGGCTCTTATATTGTTGCTAATTCACAGGCTGTCCTGGTAAGGTAGTGAAATCTCCGCAGTCTCTCACCTAAGGGTAAGCTAAGGCAGGGACAGTGCAGAGCATTGCTAAAAGCAAACTTTCACCCCTGCATTGCTAATGGTAAGTTGTCCGCTCCCTGTTGTGTTGAGAACACCTCTGTTGTGCTGGGTTAATCTTGTCTGTTCTGGATGACACTCAGAATTTTGCTAGTGGCGCAGGGTGAACCTTCTAGCCATGCAAACTCATTTTCATATATTGTTGCATTCTGAAAATGGTGGAAGTGCAATTTGTTGCATTATCAATGTTGCCACAAGGAGTGCAATAGTGAACTGTAGCATAGACCGAAGACTTTGTAGAGCAGTGGTGTTCAAACCTGTCCCTGGAAGGCCACTGTCCTGCAAAGATTAGCTTTAGCCCTGATGAAACACACCTGAACCAGGTAATCAAGGTCTTCAGACTCCCTAGAAACTTCCAGGCAAGTGTGTTGAAGCTGGTTGGAGCTAAACTCTGCAGGACGTTGGCCCTCCAGGAGCAGGACTGGACACCCCTGTTATAGAGACAGATTTTGTAAGACATTTCTGGAAAACTAATTTGAAACCATATGTATTGTGAAAAGTGCTACACAAATATTTGTGACTTGATTAGCTAGACCAGCCTGAAATGTTTAATTTATTACTCTGTTTTTAGAAGATTATTAGAAGTAAGATTATTTCTTTATATAAGTAATTGTTGTTTTACAGTAAGGATGCATTTAATTATAAGATTTTATTTCAAGTAAATGCTGTTCTAATAATCAAGGTATCCTGAAAAAATAGGTAGTACAACTGTTTTCAACACTGATAATAATAAATGTTTCTTGACACCAAATCAGCATATTAGAATGATTTCTGAAGGATCATGTGACACTGGAGACTGGAAACATGGCTGCTGAAAATTCAGCTTTGCCATTACAGGAATAAATAGTTTTTTTTTTAATATATTCAAATAGAAACCAGTTACTTTAAATTGTAATAATATTTCACAATATTACTGTTCTTACTGTATTTTTGATCAAATAAATGCATAGAATGATTTCTGAAGGATCATGTGACACTGAAGACTGGAAACATGGCTGCTGAAAATTCAGCTTTGCCATTACAGGAATAAATAGTTTTTTTTTAATATATTCAAATAGAAACCAGTTACTTTAAATTGTAATAATATTTCACAATATGACTGTTCTTACTGTATTTTTGATCAAATAAATCCAGCCTTGTTGAGCATAAAAGACAAACCTAAAAAACAACAACTATATTTTAAGGTATATTTTAAGAATTTGAATTTTAACACACTACTTTGGTCTTGACAGTAAAGAATTCACATGTTAGCATTTAGTAAATAATCTAACCAAAATCCTGTTAAAAGCAGCTGTTCTGCTGCACAAGCTGCCTTGTAAATTACAAAATGCCTCAAAAAGAGTGAAGCAGAGGAAATCACAGGCTGCTGGCACCCTTTCACACGGGATCTCCATGCAGGAGCCAGAGAAAAAGCACCAATCCATGTGGCAGCTGCGCGCCATCACACACGGCGCAACCCAGGCAGCTACGAGGGTGATTTGTTGACATGTCTTGCATGCAGGAGAGAAAATCATATCAACTATTTCCACATATCCACACAAATACACACAGCCCTCAATGTCACCGCACTTGTTTTATTCCTCTGAGAGAAAGCCCTGTAATTACATAGGCTACAGTAAATGCAGTCTGATCGGCTGTCAGGCAACATTACTGTCACAGCACATGGGGAAAGGTTGTCAGACAGTAATCTGCCAATATGAGGTTTTCACATGCCTTTGTAAAGGGATTATGCAGCTGCATGTAATTGACAAGGATAATTATGATTGGCTGGACAAAAGGCCATGTAATTTCACCACATCATATTCCCAAAGGTGATGTACAGTACAGTGCTCAGCCCTGGAGGCTGGTGCAGGACTGGGACACGGGGAATACCTCCAGGGCGGATCAGGCAGTACAGGGTGCCATGGCGGCACAGGGAGCTCAGGGACCATGGCGGAGCAGGGAGTACTGCTTTCATAGTACTGCTTTCTGTCCTCTTTATCACAAATGTAAACACCAAATCAGCATATTAGAATGATTTCTGAAGGATCATGTGACACTGAAGACTGGAAACATGGCTGCTGAAAATTCAGCTTTGCCATTACAGGAATAAATAGTTTTTTTTTAATATATTCAAATAGAAACCAGTTACTTTAAATTGTAATAATATTTCACAATATGACTGTTCTTACTGTATTTTTGATCAAATAAATGCAGCCTTGGTGAGCATAAGAGACTTTGTTCAGAAACATTAAAAAATCTTAACGAACCCAAACTTTTTAACGTTAGTGTATGTTGTTGAAATGTAAGCTTGATTTCATTCTTTTTCCATTCAAGTTGATAGGAGCTCTACAATTGCCTATATAGAAAATATTTTCAATACTTTTGCAATTGCGTTTGGTGCAGCTAGATACATAGAAATTGCTCATTTTAGCTTTGATTTGGCTTTAGGTTGACACAAGGACTAAAGCTGCAGTGGACCGTAAAGCATTCATACTGTATACCTTCGGGTAATGGCATGTCAGTTGTATGCCACGTAATATGTAATGCATGATGAAGATCTTTTTCATATTCTGTTTTTACCATGCCACTTGTGGCAAGGAATGCAAACTTGCGAGGTGTTTGGGTGAAAGTACCCAGGAGAGGTGTTTATGTCATAAAAATTCATGTGACAAATGAAGTGAAAGGGGAACAGATTCTCCCCTGACTTTGTCATGGAGAGAGAAAGAAGAGGGTGAAGCCGCGAGGCACAGCTTCGGCAGTTGCATGACAATTTGCCACCCAGGTTAGTCGCGCACGGTATCTGAAAAGTCAGGGTAGGATAACAGCATGTGATTTTTAGGTTGGAGTAACTGCTGTGTCTCCTATGCAGTCACTGAGATGTCTTGATGAGTCACAGCTGTCATCTTCTTTTCCTCTGCCAAACGTGTGCTATTCCATTCTTCCGCATCTTGCATTTGAAGCCACTGTCCACAAACAAATTACAGTGCATGGTGACTTTGCCTTTGTACACCTTTCTATATGTTTTGACCCGTGTTCTGTAATATGACATTTTCATTTCACTTGCTTGTTCTTTTCAGGTTGGCAGAAATGGAGAACCAGAACTGTTCCTTTTTCACCGACAGTCTCTCTCCGGATGAAAGTTTGTGAGTACACCACCTCCCACACACACTCAAATCTGTCCTCATGCATGGGTGTGTGGATGTGTGCATGGCCATGCATGCATGCCTTCATGTTTGGTGTGGCTGGGCAGTCACATTAATTAAAAAAGATAATGAAAACGACCCATGGCAATGTGCTCGTTCACCCTCCGTCGTATTAAGTCTGTGTGATTAAGGAGCACAACAGTAGGGATGAATAGAGCAGGCTTGGATGCTGACAGGAGAAAGAGAGAGAGAGTTAGTTAGTTAGTTAGGCTATTGAAATGCTACCGAACAAGATGTTAAGAGCTGCAAGCCCAGCGGACATGTGAAAGCCACTGAAATAAGAGCCTATATAGGGGAAATTAGGTGAGCCCTCAGAAAATCAAAACTAATAGAAGAGGTCAGATCATCACAGCCCAGAGTCATGGCTGCACATGTTTTATGCTGGAAATTGCTCTGTGTTTGTGCACGAGTGAGAGAAAGAAGGACATTTAAAGGAATAATTCACCCAAAAATGAACTTGTCCTCATGTCGTTCCAAAGCTTTATGATTTTCTTTCTTCCATGGAACACAAAAGAATCTCTTTTCAAAGCAATTACAATAAGTTATCCAGCTTTAAAAAGCAATGCAAAAGGACCATTAAACCATAATAAAAGTGGTTCACCTGACTCATGCACTGTATTCCAAGTAATTGTATTATATGAAGCCATACAATAACCTTGTGTGAGGAACACACAAAAATGTATGTTGTTACTCATACATTTTAACAACAATGTACTCATACATTGCGATGAATAAAAATATTCATCGCAACTGTTAATTGTGACCAGATTCTTTAAAATGATTCAACTAAAAAGAATAATTCACAGTCAAACTCATGACCCGAAGAGAATTAGTTATTGGGAAGAATTGTAGCATAAAATAATATATTATAAATCAATAATACTATAATACTACTACTAATAATAATACCAAAAATATGTAGTTTATAAAACTACATATTATAAATATATTAAAATGAGCTAAGCATAATATTAAAAGTTTTCATGAAATTAAGTCATTTTAATTAAAAATAAACATGAAATAATTTAAAATAAAATAAATATATATAAAAAATTAAAATATTGACAATTTTTGACCATTTGATTCTGTTTTGTGTCCTTTTTGAAGATTGAAAACTCCAATCCCACATTTCACAAAAAGAGCATAATAAACAATCTTCAGAATTTCTTTTTTATTTGTTTCACGAAGTAAAAAACAACAACAACAAAAACTATTTTAGAATGTTAAGCATGGGCGTAGCTTGACATTTGATGTGGTGGGGGGGCAAACAGAGTCGATTTGTTCAGTCACAGTTTTAAACACATACATATGCACTGCCATATCTTAAAATATGTCAGTGTTATTGATTTGTCCCAAGATGCTCAGCAGTAATGTTTTTTTCTAAGGTACACTTATAAAAGATACTTAAATGTCCTAATTGAACTGCGACCTAATCCTGGCTTAATCTAAGCCCTGTCTGTGAAACCAGGCCATAGTGTTTCTGTTGTTAACCTAAAAATTCACACTCTGTGTAACTCCATATTAAACTGATTTTACTATGATTAGATCAGCAGCAAGCATGTGAGGTTGTCATGGCAACCAGATACATAACATTAATTATTGCTGCGCTAAACTTAGCAATAAACATGCTGAAAATAATACACTATAAACATGTTTGTCAATGCAGTCTCAATGTAGGTGTTTGTTAAGCAAATCAAGGAATGAATTACATACTGCTTTAAAACAGACATCTGTTGGGCATGATTCAAGTTAAACGCACAATTTAGTAAATCTCACTGCAAATAGACGATTTTTATATTGTAAAATTTGTGTTTAAGTTTGGTTCCGTGTAAATTAAATAACATTTGGTTGTAAATGTTCCTTGTCTGATATAATTGTAGAACACACTGAGCCGCTATTATGGCTGTATCCAGCTTATACGGTATCATATGGCATCGGCATCCTCTTTTCTTTCCTTTTTTTTTGGGGGGTTAGGTCGAGATTTCTCTAGGCAGAGAGAGACAGTGCATCAGTGAGTAATGTATTATATTTATTTGACAGGGCATAATGTGCCATTTCAGTGGCTTTTACCAAATCTTCCTCATCCAGAGGTCTATACTGTAAGTGGCCTTTGTTTACAGATGGCCCATGTTATGGAACCTCTATAATTACAGCAGAGGGCATGAAAACAGCTAGTTTTTATTATTGATGTGACTAATGTGAGAGTCGTGATTATTATTACAGAGCTTCTTGTGTGATTTTTTTTTGCTCATCCTGTGTGCCTGTATATTAGCTGTGCCTATTTAGCTTGTTGTATTTTATGGCATGGGGAGTGCTTGGATTACCAGAAGTATGCGTGTTTGTGATCGCCGCTTGTTCAGCATCTACGCTGCTGTTTGTTTTATGGATGATGGTGTGCGTAAGTCTGTGTTTGCATACACTCTAAAGACGCCATGTGCAGTTTATGCAGAATATGTGTGCATGTGTTCTGTGTTGATATGCCACTGCTGCATTGTGTGCATTTGGCTTATGTACCTGCTGCTTTGTGTGCACGCTTGGCGCTGTGTGTGTCTGTCTGCTGCTGTGTGGCACCGCTAATGTGTTCAGTGTGCACTGTCTCCTGTGTGGGGGGACTCAGGGATGAAGATCAGTACCTCCTACGTCACTCCAGCCCTGCCCTTGAGCAGGACTCCCCCCACGGCCACCTGCTGGCCCACCTGGACTGCCAGGATAGAGAAGAGCTGCAGCGCACCCTCCAGCGCCTGGAGAACGAGAACAGGTGAGGGCACAGTCAGGGGCATGTTCACACTTTCACACTTGAAGCTGAAATATGCAAATTGTGCAACACTAATGTGAATTCCAAAAATACCTAAATTTTAGATTTTTTTTGAAGAACATGTAAATGATATTTAACCATGCAAAACCTGATGGTGATGCTTTTTAGTTATTAGTTCAATTTTTTTAGTTGTTAGTTCAATGAAAGCTTTTTTGTTGTTGCTTGTTTTATTGTCCACCAGACAACAAAACTACATATTATGTATTATAAATATAATAAAAAGGTTATAATAATCGATTAAATTATATTTGATAAAGTTATAATTTAATAACGTTATTATGTTGTGCACATTTGTTTCTTAAGTAAATGCATCGTGTTTTAAGGATGTTTATAAATACTGAAATCATTTTGTAGAGAAATAAAACTATTAAATGGTTTCACCTGAGGCTTATGCTGAACTAGTTTTAAATATTTGGGGGTAAAATGATTTGTCTTTGTAACTTTTTGATTCTTTCAGTTTCTGGCTGTGATTGACTGCACTTTGTGTTGGCACTTTAAATTTCACAGCTTTTCAGAGGATTAAGATAGAGCTAATACTTTTAAATTGGCTGAGATAAAATGTGTTGCTGGGAAACGGTGGACAATAATACGGTTATGATGGTTAGCGTGGGTCAAAAACGGTGATCTTTTGACCTGCGTCAAATGAACGAGGTGTGCTCTTTAGACCTTAAAACAGCTTCAAACATCAGCAGAAACACAAAAAAAGTCTGTTTGGTCTACCATTTCATTTCATCCCAAAGGCTATTGTTACAGCTGGGAGTCATTTATGAGTTTTGTCTTCAGTGTAAATCCTGACCTTTAAGTCATTCTCTCATGTGGTCTTGCTTTGTTATAGGTGAGTAATAGGTCAATAAAGCAAGATTAATTGTTAGTGTCTGCAAGGATCTGCAACCTTAACCTCCTAAATAAATCAGGGCTTCCCGCTGTCATTATTGGGATAGAAAGAGCTGAGTGATGGCTGCTCTGTTAAATTTTGTGTTATTTTTTTTGTCTTTTTTCATTCAATTTGATTTTATTTTACTGGGTTATAATAACAATTTCTCAACAAGAATATGTGTGTGTGTGTGTGTATGTATACTGTATATAATAAAATAAAACAAATAAATAATTATATATATTATCAAATTATTTATAATTATTACATTCAATTATTTTAGTAATTTTTTACATAGTAATTTTTGTTATTTACATAGTAAATTTACATAGTAATATTTAAGGTATTTAAAGATAAATATAAATATTTTATAATAAATATGTATATGAAATTGATATTTATATAAAATAAGATAACATTTAAAAATTAAATGAATTTTAGAAGGAAAAAAAACTTTTTCTGTTAAAGGGATAGTTCACCCAAAAATTTAAATTTGATGTTTATCTGCTTTCCCCCAGGGCATCCAAGATGTAGGTGACTCTGT